TTCCGTCCAGCTCTCCAGAGACTGAATGCTCTTCACTGCTGGTTCCGTCCAGCTCTCCAGAGACTGAATGCTCTTCACCGCTGGTTCCGCCCAGCTCCCCAGAGACTGAATGCTCTTTGCTGCTGGTTCCGTCCAGCTCTCCAGAAACTGAATGCTCTTCACTGCTGGTTCCGTCCAGCCCTCCAGAGACTGAATGCTCTTCACTGCTGGTTCCGTCCAGCCCTCCAGAGACTGAACGCTCCTCCCTGCTGGTTCCTTCCAGCCTTCCCGAGCACGAACTCTCCGCCCCGCTGGTTCCGTCCAGCTCTCCCGAGCGTGCACTCTCAGCCCCGCTGGTTCCGTCCAGCTTTCCCGAGCACGAGCTCTCCGCCCCGCTGGTTCCGTCCAGCTCTCCCGAGTGTGAACTCTCAGCCCCGCTGGTTCCGTCCAGCCTTCCCGAGCACGTACTCTCCGCCCCGCTGGTTCCGTCCAGCCATCCCGAACCTGAGCTCCCCTCACCACTGGTTCCAACCAGCCCCGTCCAGACCGTCCAGCCAGAGACCGTCCAGACCGTCCAGCCAGAGACCGTCCAGACCGTCCAGCCAGAGACCGTCCAGACCGTCCAGCGAGAGACCGTCCAGACCGTCCAGCCCGAGACCGTCCAGACCTTCCAGCCAGAGACCGTCCAGACTGTCCAGCCCGAGACCGTCCAGCCCGAGACCGTCCAGTCCCCATCTGCCCTTCACCCGGGGACTCAACCCAAATATTTTTTTGGGGGGGCCCAGTGTCCCAGCCATGGCCGCCCGAAGGGCTTTCTCCGCCGTGGCCGCCCAAAGGGACCTCACCGCCGTGGCCGCCTGAAGAGACCTCACCGCCATGGTCGCCCGAGAGGTCCTCACAGTCTGCTCCGCCCTGGCCACGCCCTCACCCTGCTCCGCCCTGGCCACGCCCTCACCCTGCTCCGCCCTGGCCACGCCCTCACCCTGCTCCGCCCTGGCCACGCCCTCATCCTGCTCCGCCCTGGGGGACTACCTGCTCCTGACCACATCCTCCACAGCCACCAGGGCGCCCACCCCCCCTCCCCGCTGATGTTACGGCGTGAGGTCACGCCTACCGGGAGGGGGGAGTGATGACACAGTCTTCGTCTTCACCTGTTTGTCCCGTCATCTGCACTACACCTCCCCGGATCCTTTTGCTTCCACTCCCGGACTCACTCCCTCATCAGCCACCTGTTCCTCGTCATCATCATCTGTTTCACCTGTTTTCACCCCATTATGTTTGATTCTTCGGTGTATTTAGTTGATTCTCATTCAGTCTGTCTTGGTCGATCGATGTTTAAATGTTACCCAGTATTTGCTCCTGTTTCCCTGTCTTCCTGCCAGTATTTTGTAAATAAACGTCATCTTCGTGTTAAAATGGACTTCTTCCACTCCTTCTACCTGCACTCCTGCACTCCCACCACCACACCCCGTGACAATATGATTCCCATTTCAATTTAAATGCAGTTTGTTTCTCTGTGTTTGTTGACGTTGCAGGATTTTCCGAACTAAAACTTAAACCATAAAAAAGTTTTCATTGCTTAAAATAATATAAACTTTATATGTAATTTAAAAATATATATATAAAAAACTTGAACTATTTATTTCAGCTTGCTGCCAATGCAACATTTATTTACTAAAATGTACTGAAATAAAAGTTAATAAAATCTATTCAGACATATTTATTTTAAAATTAATAATGTAAATGTTGGCGGTCTAGTGTTAATAATGAGATGTCAAAATCCTGATTACTTCTGAATGAGTTGTTTTAGTTAAGTTATAAACTATAAACTAAACTTGATCTTGATGACCAGTGTGCGATATTTTACAATATGGTGCAGATATTGATTTCTTTGTGATGTGATATTAATGGATATATAATCATATGTGTTTTGCATGTTTTGTCTGCCATATCATATTTCTGGAGTTGTTCTAAACAGAAGACATTTGTACGTGCGGAAAGATACAGTAATATCATGTGGTTATCTGAGTCAGTTATGTTTGTTTTTGCAAATGTTCTTTTTGTGTTTAATATTTGGTTTTTTTCTCTCTGAATAATAACTCTCTCTGCTCCAGAAACTCGTTTAGTTTAAACTCGACAGCAATCCATTTTGTTTTGTGCTCCGCTAAAACTGATCTTTAATTCTCCCTGCAGCTACTGAAATTGATGAGTTTTTCATAATTATTCCCTTTGCAGCTTTTTAACTTTTCATGAGAGAAGGAGCAATTTCACTGCTTTATTGTGTTCTGCAGAGAAGTGAGATATAAGATATTGATATTTGTGTGGTTTATATCCTGCGCTGCCTCCAATGTTTGATACAAAAGTGCATTACACATTCAGAGTGGTTACAAAAGGCCTAATTCATCACAGGTGTTCACTAATAGCTTTGTGTAGTTAAACTTTACAGATTTTAGTCTGTTTTTCTTAAGCAGCAAAACATTTGTGTATGTGTGTGTTTCAATTAGTTAAAAATACATTTTAAGGACTGTGAAAGCGAGAACTGTTGCAGTGCTTCTGTAACACTAGTTTAGTGATGGTTAACCTTAGCACTAGTTTAGTGATGGTTGACAGTAGTACTAGTTTAGTGATGGTTAACCTTAGCACTAGTTTAGTGATGGTCAACTGAAGCACTAGGTTAATGATGGTTAACAGTAGTACTAGTTTAGTGATGGTTAACCTTAGCACTAGTTTAGTGATGGTCAACTGAAGCACTAGGTTAATGATGGTTAACAGTAGTACTAGTGTAGTGATGGTCAACTGAAGCACTAGGTTAATGATGGTTAACAGTAGTACTAGTTTAGTGATGGTTAACAGTAGCACTAGTGTAATGATGGTTAACTGAAGCACTAGTGTAGTGATGGTTAACAGTAGCACTAGTACTCGTTTAGTGATGGTTAACTGAAACACTAGTGTAATGATGGTTAACTGATGCTCTAGTTTAGTGATGGTTAACAGTAGCACTAATGTAATGATGGTTAACTGAATCACTAGTTTAATGATGTTTAACAGTAGCACTAGTACTCATTTAGTGATTGTAAACTGAAGCACTAGTGTAATGATTGTTAACTAAAGCACTAGTTTAGTGATGGTTAACAGTAGCACTAGTACTCGTTTAGTACTCGTTTAGTGATGGTTAACTGAAGCACTAGTGTAATGATGGTTAACCTTTGCACTAGTTTAGCGATGGTTAACAGTAGCACTAGTTTATTGATGGTTAACAGTAGCACTAGTTTAGTTATAGTTAACTGAAGCACTAGTGTAATGATGGTTAACCTAAGCATTAGTTTAGTTATGGTCAACTGAAGCACTAGTTTAGTGATGGTTAACCTTAGCACTAGTTTAGTGATGGTCAACTGAAGCACTAGTACAATGATGGTTAACCATAACACTAGTTTAATGATGTTTAACAGTACCACTAGTGTAATGATGGTTAACAGTAGCACTAGTGTAATGATGGTTAACTGAAGCACTAGTGTAGTGATGGTTAACTGTAGCACCTGTTTATTGATGGTTAAACATAGCACTAGTTAAGTGATGGTTAACCGTATCACCAATTTAGTGATGGTTAACTGAAGCACTAGTTTATTGATGGTTAACAGTAGTACTAGTTTAGTGATGATTAACAATAGCACTAGTTTAGTGAAGATTAACCATAGCACTAGTTTATTGATGGTTAACAGTAGCACTAGTTAAGTGATGGTTAACCGTATCACCAATTTAGTGATGGTTAACTGAAGCACTAGTTTATTGATGGTTAACAGTAGTACTAGTTTAGTGATGATTAACAATAGCACTAGTTTAGTGAAGATTAACCATAGCACTAGTTTATTGATGGTTAACAGTAGCACTAGTTTAGTTATGGTTAACAATAGCACTAGTTTAGTGAAGATTAACCATAGCACTAGTTTATTGATGGTTAACAATAGCACTAGTTTAGTTATGGTTAACAATAGCACTAGTTTAGTGAAGATTAACCATAGCACTAGTTTATTGATGGTTAACAGTAGCACTAGTTTAGTTATGGTTAACAATAGCACTAGTTTAGTGAAGATTAACCGTAGCACTAGTTTATTGATGGTTAACAATAGCACTAGTTTAGTGATGGTTAACAATAGCATTAGTTAGCCATTGCTGTATTTGAAAAGTGTTAGTCACTTATGAGGTTTAGTTGTGATTAAAGCTGCTTTAGATTGTTCCTCATTAAGTGTTTACACACAAAACAGACACTAACTGTTGAGAGGATGGTCTGATCTACTAATCCAAAGGTTTCAGCATGTTTAAGTCCCTATTAGTGGCTGCTAACAATAACCAGATCTGGTTTTGTCCAGATGCTTTGAGAGAAATCTATTAGCATTTTCACTTGCAGAAGGAGATTTTGATGTTCAAATTTCTTTTCAATTTCTATAAAAACAAACTAGGCTTGAAGCTCTCCAGTAACCACAAAGGTTACGGTAATTTTAGTTAATTGCAAAGTTACTTACAACCCGTAACTAAATGAAATGATATGAGATTATATACAGGCCAAAACTATCCATTAGTCGAAATCACTGTGACTTTTATTTTGTATTGGGATTACAGTAATCTCTGCACATATTCACATTATCCATTACTGCTCAGACATTGTGGGTTCATTTATTGTTATTGTTGGTGAAGAAATCATTATGTCACAAATAATGTATATATATATATATATTGGCAAAAAGGCAAACTACATCTACAAGTTTTATTAGGCTATGAAAATAAAAAAAAATGCATAGAAAAAAAGCTGACTGAAAAACAGCAAGATAATGATTGCCGGCACAATTTATGATTTTTCATTGCATTATTATCACAAATAAAACAATCGACTCCAAGCACAACTGTACTTAAAAAATCGTTTAATATTTAAATAAATGGTGAAGTTGTCCATTTTCCTTGTCCGGACATCACTCTTGGCCCTATATAATAACAATATGACTTCATATAATAAAAATACTATGCATTTATGCAGAGGTCTAAAAGGCAGAATGGTTTTGTTATGAGGATATTGCAGATGTGTGTGTGCGTGTGTGTGTGTGTGATCAGGATAATCCGTGTAACCCTTTAGTGACCGTGGAGGCTCCAGCTCCTCCATCTGCTGCAGTGACTTGTTTATTTCTAGGATTTCTCTGAACAGGATCGAGTCTCCTTTAATATCTCCGGTGTTTTTTGCATGAGACGGATGTGAGCGCAGATGTTTACAGCTAAACGCCCATATTCGACGTTTATCTGCACATGGCAGCGGCCGGTGCTGATGAGAGACTCCGCGGATCCCGGGTCTTCATTATCATCATCATCAGCATCTGAAACGATGCAGCTCATTTCCATCATGTTCCTTCTCCGTGTGTGAATCGCAGTGTTTTCTGGGCTGAGATGGTTCGGGTCGTCAGTGTTCTGGGTCTGGTGATGTTCAGCGTCGCTTTGCTCATTTTGTCATTGATCAGTTACGTATCCATCAAGAAAGACTTCATCTTCACCGGCCCAAAATACGCCAACGGCGGCGGTCCGCGGATGTACATGTTTCACGCGGGCTTTCGGTGAGTGAACACGTGATTTTCACATACATTCATTAAAAATCTCATAACGGGGTTGTTTATTTCTAAAACATCAAAAGGGCAGCTTTTCTAATGCGCATGCGGTTGAATAAGCGTGTGTTTTGATCACATCTTTTGGAAAGGCCCTTGTCCTTCTGTCATGATGCTCAGTGCGCATGCGCAGTTCTGTCCTGGATCATGAAGATGGGACTAACCTACATTCTCATATTTCACAGAGTAATGATTTCTGAACAATCAGCTGCATTCATATTCTATATACGTCATGCATTCTATTCTAACGCATATTCTTTATTGGCATCTATGGTTTCATAATACATCTACACTCTTATATATATAAAAAAGGGTTCTATGTAGAACTTTTGGGTTCTTGGTTAAATTTTTAACAACCGTTTAAGACAAAAGGTTCTAAATAAGGAGAAATCTGCATAATACTTTCATAATTAATGGGTTATTTTTTCTAGCGATAAAGAAAGTTTCTGAGCTTTTTAATTCTAACATTTAATTAAATAAAATTAAGTAATTAAAACTAAATCCATAAAATGATCCATTAAAGGAACTCCTAAGATTCCATTTAGAACCTTTATTTTTAAGAGTGATACACATTTAAAAAGGTTCTTTATTGGCACCGATGGTTCCATAAATAACCTTTAACGTCCACAGAACCTTTTAGGTTCTTTATAATTGAAAATGGTTCTTTAGAATATTAAAATGTTCTTCACATTAAGAAAAGGGCTCTTTTAGGAAAGTTTTTTTTTTGTGAATGTTGAGTGATAAACTATTTAACATTTGATTAATGCATCATTTCTTAGTCTAACTTGCTGACCATCAAGAATATGTTTTTTTTTTAAATACTTGCATCCCAATTATCTACAGGCTGAAATCAAATATGTGCGCAGAAGTGCATGTTTTTTGATGAGTGTTATATGGATAACTATGTTGTACTTAAACACTCACTATTAAAGTGCAACCAAAGTCCAGTTCTAATGTTGTGTTTGATTGAAACTGAAGGATCGAGGCCCTGCGCGCTGTCCTTGGTCCTGATTTACTCCTCTGGCAGTTTCATTTCCAGTCAGTAATCAGACGCTTTTGCTACAGTCAAGGTTACATAGCAGGAGTTATTTTGATCCGGCACTCCTGTATGACCGTATGTTATTCATCAGCGGCTCGTCATTTGAACTTCCGCCAGGGAAGAGAGAAAAGGCCAAAACTAGCAGAAGCGCCTTCAAATGTGTTTTAAATAGCAGTTCAGATCAGATAATAGTGTACGAGAGGCTTGATTTGAATCACTTTACAATTCTGATGTTAATCATTTCAGTGTGTAAGTAATTGCACATGCCAACAGGTTTACAGCAAATGTCTGATCTGTTATGCTCTTGTTTGAAGTCCTGATTGTCTTTTAGTCTCCACTAGAACAGGTTTTCCCACTTGAATGTTGATTATTTTCCTCCTCTCTTCCCAGTCTGTCAGTAACGCTCTGTTTACTTCCTGTCTCTATGAAGCCCCTCCTTCTGAAAGCACACTGTTCTCTGATTGGTCGGCTGGATCAGTGTGCTATGATTGGTCGAGTGCTTCGAGTGTGTTTAGGAAATGTCCCGCCCCTTACCATAACCACCAGTTTAACACACTAATAACTAACTCAACCAGGCCCTGCCCCTTTATTCTGCATGAAATATTATAATGAGGAATATTTTGACTACCATGGAGGCATTTCAGGAGTTCAGAAACACTGATATAGAGGAGAACTCCCGCTGGAGGGACTTAATTACAACTAATTAGCAATATTTAAAATATACTGTATATATATAATAATGCCAATAGCACATAACAAAATGACAAAAAAAGACTAACCTATAAAAATAAAACATCGTAAAAACATGTTAACAACATGCTAACTCGTTCTAGAAATATGCTAGAATATGCTACCTAGCCTAATGCTAACAACATTAGCAATGTGTTAAATCATGCTAATAATATGTTAAATAATGCTAGCAACATGCTAAAACATGCTAGAAAAATGCAAACAATTCAGCAATAATGCCAGCAACATGTTAATAAATAGTAATGTTTGAAACATGCTAACGGACTAAATAATGCTAAGAACATATTAACAATGTTAAATGATGCTAGAAACATGCTTACTCATGCTATCAAATGTTAACGCATGCTATGAAAATGCTAAATCATGTTTGAATCATGCTAATAATTAACTAATTAATGCTAGCAAAATGCTAACACATGTAAACAATGTTAAATTATGCTAGAAACATGCTAACTCATACTAACAAATGTTAATGCACGCTAAATGCTAAATCATGTTTGAATCATGCTAATAATTAACTAATAAACACTAGCAAAATGCTAACACATGTAAACAATGTTAAATTATGCTAGAAGCATGCTAAATCATGCCAGCAAATGTTAATGCATGCTATGAAAATGCTAAATCATGTCTGAAACATGCTAACAATAGGCTATAGTACTAATAATTCTAGCGTTTAAAACTAGCAAACTAAAACCAAAAACCATTTAAAATTAAAACCTAAAAACGTAAAGCTGTTAAAACTACTTCAAACATTCTGGCTATGCTTTCTGAAGTGTTTGTCTACAAACCTTACTCTTAAAAATAAGAGCTTCGTTGGCATTGATGATTCCATGAAGAACCTGTAACCTCCATTTAATCTTTCCATTTCAAAAAAGGGTCTTTATAAAATATTCTTTATAAAATATTTATTTTAAAAGAAAAAAATGCTTCTTTTAAGAACTGATCACTAAAAGGTTCTTTGAGGAACCAAAAATGGTTCTTCTATGGGATCGCTAAAAATAAGTGTGTATGAATTGATTGAGTTTTACTGGGAGTGACTGTGACTTGAGTCATCCTGTAAACCAACACTGTTACGCTCCGACCTCTGAGGCCGTAACCCAGACTCAGATAATGAAACGGAACAAGCTTTAACAAACGAGAGTGAGAAAACGAGCAGGCGTGGAGTCTAAAAGAGGCTGTTTAATTAGAGCGGGCATCGACTGCCCCGGGCGGGACGTGACTGACAGGACTCTGGATGGGTCCGATTGATTGGGACCACTTTCAGCATCTGCCATCAGCGGGACTTCGGGATCTGCTGGAACAGAAACTGTGTTTTCATTTCCTCTGTCTGTCCATCTTCTCGTCAGGTCCCAACTGGCAATGAAGTTCCTGGATCCTGCGTTCACGTCCCTGAATAATGCCCTCAACGAGAACATACAGGAGTCCAGCAACTGGAGGTTTAACAAGAGCGCTTATTTAGAGCAAAGGTGAAAGGTCAAACACACATACACACACATAATAATGTAGGTTAGGTAGATGCAAATGTTAACAACACACTACCGGCAGAAGTTTCTCTGCTCACCAAGGCTGCATTTATTTTTAAAAATACAGCAAAATCAGCAAAATTGTGAAATCGGTTTTCTATGTGAATATATTAGTAAAGTGTAATTTATTCCTGTGAATTTTCAGCATCATTACTCTAGTCTTCAGTGTCACAGTGATCCTTATGATAGTCATTATAGTCTATTTCCTTAGTTAGAATGATTATTAAAACTTTATGGTTATAGTTAACAATTAATGTATCATCTTTTGACAAACATTTAACAAAATTGTTGTTTTTAATGTTTATAAAACATCAACTCCCTTTTATGTAATATTAAATATTATTATAAGAATATATGTTACTTTTATATATTTAGTTTATTTGTGTAAGATTCATATTTTCAATCGGTTTTAAAACAATACATTTTTTTTAAAACTTTACGGTTATAGGTATTGTTCTTGATGTTTGTTTATTTTAAAGCAATTACTTTTAAAATATGGTTAATAAAGTTTAATATTAATCATTTTATTAATAAATGTAAATAATAAAAACCCATTAACTCACATGACGTGTATGTAATATTTAATATAAAAATAGGCCTAGTATTATTTTTAATAGTAATATTGTTTAAACGTAATATTATTTTTGTCGTTATTGATAGATTTTTTCATTAAATCTAGATATTATAGATATTTGTTCTTATTCTGAGTTTAGTTTTTTAATGTTTAATATTATTCATATTTTTCTTTAATTAAAATAAATTATTTATAAAAATTAAAACACTATAAAAAATTGTTTTTAAACTATTCAAATTTAAAAAAACACCAACTCTCACGTTAATTTTTTTAAATGTTTAATGGTATTTCAAAGTATATTTTTTTTAATTATTAAAAAAAAATTAAAACCATCAACTCACATTTTAAATGTTATGTTTAGGTTTAGTTTTTAATGTTTAATATTATTAATATTTTACCAAAAAAAACCTCTCACATGTGTGTAATATGTAAAATAAAAAACATGAATATTTTGAAAAGTAATATTATTGAAATGCTAATTATCATTCTTGTTGTTTATTTATTCCAAGAGTTAAGTTTTTTATGTTTAATATTATTAATATGAAATAAATGTTTCTTATACAACTCTCACATGTGTATGTAACATTACATTTTAAGTAGTTATTTAAACACTATGGTTATGGATATTATACTTTTGAAAGGGCCTAAAATCTCTCCTAAAACAGCTGCTAATCCATTTGCTTGTGTTGCGTCTTTCTGACTGTGTTCACTTCACTCTGATGTTGTTGCGTGTGTTTTCCAGTAAAGAGATCGGTCAGTACATTGACGTCCCGCACAACTTCACCCTGACCAAGAGCAGTGTTCGTGTGGGTCAGTTAATGCACTACGACTACTCCAGTCACAAATACGTGTTCTCCATCGGCGAGAACCTCAGGTCTTTGCTTCCGGACTCGTCCCAGGTCCTTAACAAGCGCTACAACACCTGCGCTGTGGTGGGAAACAGTGGGATCCTCACTGGAAGCCGCTGCGGCCCCGAAATCGACAAGTATGACTTTGTTTTCCGCTGCAACTTCGCACCCACCGAGGTCTTCCGTCGAGACGTGGGCCGTCGGACCAACCTCACCACCTTCAACCCCAGTATTCTGGAGAAATACTACAACAACCTGCTGACCATCCAAGACAGGAACAATTTCTTCTTGAGTCTGAAGAAACTGGACGGCGCAATCCTATGGATCCCAGCCTTTTTCTTCCATACGTCGGCAACTGTCACACGCACACTCGTAGATTTCTTCGTAGAGCACAAGGGGCAGCTGAAAGTCCAGCTCGCCTGGCCGGGAAACATTATGCAGTATGTGAACAGGTAAGAGCTTTTGTATGTCTGTCTTAACCCGTTTAAGCTTCTTTTGAGAATCACACTTCTGAAAATACCATGGTATAAAAAAAATTTAAAAAGTTAATTGTGACTTTTTTTCTCACGATTCCAAAAACATTCACAATTAAGATTTTATGTATCTGACGTTTTTCTCAGAAAAGTAAGAATTGAAAGATATAAACTCAAAATGATGAGATTAAACTCAGAATTCAGAGAACAAAGTCAGAATTTGAGATATAAATTCCAGAATTGTAAGGAAAAAAAGTAAGAATTGTGAAGTAAAAAAACGAATGAATTGCGAGATGTTAACTCAGAATTTCGGGAAAAATGTCAGAATTTCAAGATGTAAACTCAGAATTCCGAGATGAAAGTAAGAATTGTGAGAAGTAAACTCAGAATTCCAGGAGAAATGTCAGAAATTCAAAATGTAAACTCGTTGAAAAATAGTTGAAAAAATATTTGAATTGCGTAAAAAGAATTCAGAGAAAAAGTTCAAAATTGTGAGATGTAAATTAAAAATTCTGAGAAAAAAATTTAGAATTGCAAGATGTAAACTCAAAATTCGTAGAAATAAGTCAAAATTACGAGATGTAAACTCAAAGTTCCAAGGAAAAAGTCAGAATTGCAAGATGTAAACTCAAAATTTTGAGAAAAAAAGTCAAAATCGCAAGATGTAAACTCAAAATTCTCCGGAAAAAAAGTCAAAATTGCAAGATGTAAACTCAAAATTCTCAGAAAAAAAGTCAAAATTGCAAGATGTAAACTCAAAGTTCTGAGAAAAAAGTAAAAATTGCAAAAATAAACAAAAAATTCTGAGAAAAAAGTAAAAATTGCGAGATGTCAACAGAAAGTTCGGAGAAAAAAGTAAAAATTACCAAAAAAACTATTAATTCTGAGAAAAAAGTAAAAATTGCGAGATGTAAACAAAGTTCTGAGAAAAAAGTGAAAATTGCAAAAATTAACAAAAAATTCAGAGAAAAAAGTCAAAATTGCGAGATGTAAACTGTATCTTTGGGACATGGTACCAAGCAGATGATGAGATAATGTAAACAAACAAAGAGAGCGAGTCAAGTCAAAGTCAAGTAAAATATATTTATATAGCGCTTTTCACAATAGAGATTGTATCAAAGCTGCTTCACAATATCAATCAAGACAACTTAACAGTGTTTGTTTATTCATGGGAAAAAAAGACAATCAAGCTTGGTAGAGCTGATCGATGATGGGTCATTTAATTTGAAAATCCCCAACTGAGCAAGCCAAAGGCAACAGTGGCAAGGAACCGAAAAACTCCATCAAGTGACCCGATTGTGTCCTAAAACTCCATCAGACCCAATGGAGAAAAAAAAAAACCTTGGGAGAACCCAGGCTCAGTCGGGGGCCAGTTCTCCTCTGGCGTTTATGAACTAGAGGCCAAATTTACTGTAACTGTAAGATAAAAAATGTATATGAATGCCAGGCTAAATAAATGCGTCTTTAGTCTATTTTTTAACTGGGAGAGCGAGTCTGAGCAACAAACAATATCAGGAAGGCTATTCCAGAGCTTCGGAGCTAAATGTGAAAATGCTCTCCCTCCTTTGGTGGATCTGGATATCCTAGGAATGACCAGAAGCCTCGAATTTACTGATCTTAAAGAGCGCGATGGATTGTAGGGCGATAGAAGATCTGTTAAATAGCCAAACCATTTAGAGCTTTATAAGTAGAAATACCTTGTATTTAATACGGAACTTTATAGATAACCAATGAAGTGATGATAGAATCAGTGTTATATGATCATATTTTCTTGATCTAGTAAGAACTCTAGCAGCTGCATTTTGTACTAACTGTAGCTTTCTTATTGAGGATGCAGGACAACCAGCTAATAAAGCATTACAGTAATCTAGTCTCGAGGTCATGAATGCATGAACTGACTTTTCTGCATCAGAGACAGATAGCATGTTACTTTGCTTAGCGATGTTTCTAAGGTGGAAAAAGGCTGTTTTTGTAACACATGAAATATGCTTTTCAAAAGACAGGTTGCAGTCTAATGTAACACCCAGGTCTTTTACTGCAGCGGATAAAGTAACAGGGCATCCTAATATGTTAAAGTCGTGCTGCGAAAGGTTTTGTGGACGGTTTTTAGAACCGATAAGTATTACCACTTTCTTGTCTGGATTTAATAAAAGAAAGTTACGCTTTTATATCTTTAACACAATCTGTCAATTTGGATAATTTAGCGTATTCATCTGGCCGTGGTGAAATATATATTTGAGTGTCTTCAGCATAACAATGGAAACTAATTCCATGTTTCCTTATAATATTACCAAGTGGCAGCATATATATTGAGAATAATAGAGGGCCTAACACAGATCCCTGTGGCACTCCATAGTTTGCCGAAGTTATGATAGATTTTTCTCCATTTAAGTAGACGAAATGGTAGTGGTCAGATAAGTATGACCTGAACCAGCTTAGCGAGTGAGAGTTGCTCGGTTTAACCCTTCATCCACAGAACTGAGCTGTTGACCTGTAATCTTCTGCAATCCCAGTAAAGCGATCGGATGAAACCCTGGAAGACGATCACAAGCGAAACACAAGAAGTCTAATGGATACTCGGTTTAACAGTCAGTCACAAAAAAAGGATATCCATCATTGCATATACATGTTTTAATTATAATTTTTAAAAGAATAATATAATCAGAACATTTTGTAATTTGTTTTGATATAAAAATGTATTTGATATAAAAATGTATGCCCGAGCCACCTCAGCTGACCTCTCTCGATGTGAAAGAGCAGCAGCTCTACACTGAGCTCCTCCCGAGTGACAGAGCTTTTCACTTCTCTATCTCTAAGGGATCTTAAGAGCTCATTTTGACCGCCTGTATCCGGGATCTTGTTCGAAATAACAAGTCATGACCCAAACCTCATGACCATAGATGAGAGTAGGAACGTAGACAGACTGGTACATCGACAGCACTACTGCAGAAGCTGCACCGATCTGTCAATCACCCGTTCCATCCTTCCCTCACTCGTGAACAAAACCTCAAGATACTTAAACTCCTCCACTTGAGGCAGGAACTCTCCACCAACCTGAAGTGAGCAAGCCACCCTTTTCCGACTGAGGACCATGGCCTCAGATTTTCTGGTGCTGATTCTCATCCCATCCGCTTCACACTCGGCTGCAGACCGTCCCAGTGCATGCTGAAGGTCCTGGTCTGAAGAGGCCAACACGACAACATCATCCACAAAGAGCAGAGACGAAATCATGTGGTCCCCAAACCTGACACCCTCCGGCCCCTGGCTGCGCCTAGAAATTCTGTCCATAAAGATTATGAACAGAACCGGCGACAGTGGGCAGCCCTGCCGGAGTCCAACATGAAGTCTGACTTACTGCCGGCAATGCGAACTAAGCTCCTGCTTCGGTCATACAGGGACCGGACACCCCATACTTCCGAAGCACCCTCCACAGGCCACCACGAGGGACACAGTTGAATGCCTTCTCCAAATCCACAGAGCACATGTGGATTGGTTGGGCAAACTCCCATGAACCCTTCAGCAATCTGTAGAGAGTATAGAGCTGGTCCAGTGTTCCACGGACGAAAACCGCACTGTTCCTCCTGAATCCGAGGTTGCTGCAGAGGCGTGTCAGCCAAGACAACCCACAACATCCAGAGACTTGAGGTACTCAGGGCGGATCTCATCCACCCCTGGTGCCTTGCCACAGAGGAGTTCCTTGACTACGTCTGTGACTTCAGCTAGGGTGATGGACGACTCCACCTCTGAGCCCTCAGCCTCTGCTTCCTCAATGGAAGACATGACGACGGGATTGAGGAGATCCTCAAAGTATTCCTTCCACCGTCCGATGACATCCCCAGTTAAAGTCAACGACAGTGAGAGACCTATCCCCGACCCGTAGGCACAGGGATGCGACCCTCTCGCCCACCGGGGTAAACTCCCAACACATGGCAGCTGAGCTGGGGGGCTTTAAGCAAACCCACACCAGCCCGTCGCCTCTCACCATGGGCAACTCCAGAGTGGTGAAGAGTCCATCCTCTCTCAAGGAGTGTGGTTCCAGAGCCCCAGCCGTGCGTAGAGGTGATCCCGACTATCTCTAGTCGGAACCTCTCAACCTCACGCACAATCTCCGGCTCCTTCCCCGCAAGCGAGGTGACGTTCCACTTCCCTAGAGCTAGTTCTGTGTCCAGGGATCGGGTTGTCGAGGCCCCCACCTTCGACTGCCGCCCGATCCTCGCAGCACCGGCCCCTTATGGTTCCTCATATAGGTGGTGAGCCCACGGGAATGCGGCTCCACGTCGCTCCTTCAGACTGAGCCCTTGCCGGACCCCATGGGAGGAGGCCTGGCCACCAGGCGCTCGCATAAGAGCCCCAACCTCGATCCTGGCTCCAGGGTGGGGCCTCGGCTGCGCCATACCGGGTGACGCCATAGTCCTCGATTTAGTCTTACTCATTGAAGGTTTTAAACCGCTCTTAGTCTGACCAGTCGCCTAGGACCTGTTTGCCTTGAGAGACCCTACCAGGGGCCCTGGACACCTATATGAGGAACCATAAGGGGCCGGTGCTGCGAGGATCGGGCGGCAGTCGAAGGTGGGGGCCTCGACAACCCGATCCCTGGACACAGAACTAGCTCTAGGGACGTGGAACGTCACCTCGCTTGCGGGGAAGGAGCCGGAGATTGTGCGTGAGGTTGAGAGGTTCCGACTAGAGATAGTCGGGATCACCTCTACGCACGGCTGGGGCTCTGGAACCACACTCCTTGAGCCCACGGGAATGCGGCCCCACGTCGCTCCTTCAGACTGAGCCCTTGCCGGACCCCATGGGAGGAGGCCTGGCCACCAGGCGCTCGCATAAAAGCCCCAACCTCGATCCTGGCTCCAGGGTGGGGCCTCGGCTGCGCCATACCGGGTGACGCCATAGTCCTCGATTTAGTCTTACTCATTGAAGGTTTTAAACCGCTCTTAGTTTGACCAGTCGCCTAGGACCTGTTTGCCTTGAGAGACCCTACCAGGGGCCCTGGACAACATAGCTCCTGGGGCCGTTCGGGTACTCAAACCCCTCCACCAAGTTAAGGTGGCAGTTCAAGGAGAGGCTAGAAAATAATTCAAACTTTATTTTTATTTATTTATTTATCTTTAGAAAATAATTCAAAGTTTATTTTTTATAATTTCTGAAACTTTTAAAAATGCTTAAATACATAAACAAACAAACAAATAAATAAATAAGTACATGCACTACAGTTCAAAGGTTTGCGGTCAGTAAGATTATTTTTAAATAATTAATACTTTTATTCAGCAAGGATGCATTAAATTGATGAAAGGTGACACTAAAGACATTCATAATGTTACAAAATATTCTATTTCACATAAATTATGTTCTTTTGAACTTTTTATTCATCAAAGAATCCTAAAAAATAAAATGTATCACTGTTTACACAAAATATGAACTGTTCTCAACACTGATAATAATCACAAATAAATGTTTCTTGAGCATCAGATCATCATAGAGTGATTTGTGAAGGATCATGAAGACTGGAGTAATGATGCTGAAAATTCAGCTTAGATCACAGGAATAAATTATACTTTACTATATATTCACATAGAAAACAGCTTTTTAAAATTCTGTTTATAATTCCAATTCACTATTTTACTATTTTTGATCAAATAAACACAGCCTTGGTGAGCAGAAGAGACTCTTTTAAAAACTGATAAAATCTTACCGATCCAAAACTCATTAAGCTCAGTTTTACCATCTAGACATGTTCAAAACTATTTTAACGCACACACACACACACACGCACACAGGTCAGCCTGTAGTCCAGTGTTGTTCACTGTTCACCAGCGCTGTGACTCTATTAGAGATGGTGGCTGAACTAACCTTGCTCTGAGCGAATGAACCTCTGAACACACACTCAGCTGACCTTCATGGATGTGTTGTCACCATTTTCCTGCAGACACATGGGCCACTTTGGGTGAAACGCATTAGTGTTTCCCGGGGGTTTATGGGTAAACGCTGTCAAGAGTGTATGCAGTGGTTCATCGCTGTTAAATATATGAGGATTGAGGATATTTCTCTGAATCACACTTCATTTAATGCTGGAGTTCTCTGTTGGAAGGGCCTTGCAGGGATGATCACATACTGAACACATGTTGATGACTGTCCATGGTTTTACCTAAATATCACATAAACACGCCCAGGTCAAAATTATATGTAGTGTTCAAATGTTTGGGGTCAGTACAATTTTTTTTAAATGCTTTGAAAGAGTCTCTTCTGCTCACCAAATCTGCATTTATTGGATAAAAAATAGAGTAAAATAGTGGAATGTTATTATAATGTAATTATGTAAATCATCTGTTTTCTATGTGAATATGTAGTAAAGTGTAATTTATTCCAGTGATCAAAACTGAATTTTCAGCATCATTACTCCAGTCTTCAGTGTCACATGATCCTTCACAAATCACTCTAATACGATGATTTGATACTCAAGAAATGATGATTTATGATTATTATCAATGTTGAAAACACTTCATATTTTTGTGTAAACTGTGATACATTTTATTTTTCAGGATTATTTTAAGAATAGAAAGTTTAGAAGAACAGCATTTATTTGAAATAGAATATTTTGTAACATTATAAATGTCTTTATTGTCACTTTTGATCCATTCAATGCTACCTTGACGAATAAAAGTATTGATTTCTTACAACAACAAAAAAATCTTATTGAATCAAATATTAAATCAAACTTTTGAATGATAGTGTATAATGAAGTGCATTTTAATTCTTATTCTGGCATACAATGAATTTAAAAATAATTAAAGTAATTAATTAAGAGTTTGTTTTACTGGTTACTGAATATAATTAAAAAAATATATAATAATGTAATTTTAGAAAAGACTATATAAGTGATTTTCATATTGCTGATTTTCACATAATGCAAAAGAAAATCTGTTTTTGTGAATAAATAAATAAATAAATAAATAAATGAATAGGTTTTTATATTATGTGTATATATACACTGAATAAAATTATAAACGCAACACTTTTGTTTTTGCCCGTTTTTCATGAGCTGAACTCAAAGATCGAAGACTTTTTCTATGTACACAAAAGGCCTATTTCTCTCAAATATTGTTCACAAATCTGTCTAAATCTGTGTTAGTGAGCACTTCTCCTTTGCCGAGATAATCCGTCCACCTCACAGGTGTGGCATATAAAGATGCTGATTACACAGCAGGATTATTGCACAGGTGTGCCTTAGGCTGTCCACAATAAAAAGCTATTGATCACTGTATTGAATGTTGGTCCACTCCTCTTCAATGGCTGTGGGAAGTTGCTGGATATTTTCAGGATATACCAAAATTATATTTTGGAGTGAAATATTATCATTGTATGAAATTATGATAATTTACATAATGCTAATAAATAAACAATCACAGGTTTTGTCTATGACATCTTTTAAAAAATGAAGAAAATTTGTATTGTTTAATAATATAATAATGTAATTTTTAAAAGGCTTTACACTTGATTTTTTTTTTTACATTATTGTTGACTGATAAAGACCATAATGCAATCGTTATTCGTTGGCTGTCGGCCGATATATTAAAGCCGATAAATAATGGATTATTTCCTTTATTTGAGACACTTCAGAAGCGCACTGTTCAACATGATGTTTTTGAATTGCTTGAAATATGATTGCTATCACTTCAAAAAAGAAAATACATTAAAGTTCAACATGTGCTAAGCAATCTGTCATATAGGCTACAGAAAATTATAACGACATGGATTTTAATGATGAGACTTTTGTTTTTTTTTAATCAGGCTCTCATAAATTATTTAAAAATTTGGATTCAGATTTATGAGCCAATATATCTGTTATCAGCTTTCAAATATAAAGAATTATCAGTATCGGGCAAAATTTTCATATCAATGCATCACTAATATAAATATATATCACAGGTTTTGTGAGATTTAGCCAAATGCTCTAGACCTACAGATAGAATTTACACACTGATTGTTTTTGTAAATCCTATGTCCAATTTGTGCAAACGATATTTTCATATGTTTGAAACGAGTTCCTCTTGTTTGTCTGCAGATCTATGTCCAATTTCTGACATCCCCAAAGATTCAAAGATGGTTTGCGTAAAGGGTTAGTTCACCCAAAAAATGAAAATGATGTCATTAATGACTCGCCCTCATGTCGTCCCAAGCCTGTAAGACCTCCGTTCATCTTTGGGACACAGTTTAAGATATTTTATATTTAGTGTCCCTCCATTGAACATGTATGTACGGTATACTGTCCTTGTCCAGAAAGATAATAAAGACATCATCAAAGTAGTCCATGTGACATCAGTGGGTTAGTTACAATGTTTTGAAGCATCGAAAATACATTTTGGTCCAAAAATAACAGAAAACTCAGACTAAATCTATAATATCTTAAACTGTGTTCCGAAGATGAACGGTGGTCTTACGGGCTTGGGACGACATAACGACATTTTTGGGTGAACTAACGCTTTAAATCAGAAAACACAATGCAAACGATATTTTCAAATGCAGGTCCTCTTGTTTGTGTGCAGGTACTGGAAAACGAAGGCTCTGTCTCCGAAGCGTCTGAGCACGGGGATCCTCATGTTCACGCTGGCCTCGTCCTGTGTGATCAGGTGCACCTGTACGGGTTCTGGCCCTTCGGCTGGGACCCCAACACCGGGAAGGAGCTGCCGTACCATTACTACGACAAGAAGGGCACCAAATTCACCACCAAGTGGCAGGAGTCGCATCAGCTGCCCACCGAGTTCAAACTGCTCTTCAAAATGCACGCGGACGGCGTCCTGAAACTCAGCCTCTCCCACTGCGCCTAGAGGTCAAAGGTCAGGGTCAAAGGGTCAGCGGTCAGGACTCAGGGTCGTTTAGTCTGGCTAATGGACGTTTGTGGTGATTGAAGTTTTATTTCTGCCATCTATCGACACCAAGCTCAGATCAGTGTCAGTGATGGTCAGGATAGTTCTAAAAAATCCCAATTTTGGGTCAAATATGGACAATCCCATGCAGCCACTTTTTAAAATGCACTTTTAATCCAACGTTTGGGTTTGTCCATTTGTGATCCAAAATTGATTGAAAGCAACCCAGCTTTTTTTTTAGAGTGCACTATTTAACATTAAACAATAGCATCATGTTACAGTATAACCAAAATATAATGCAAATATTACTAAATCTGATGCACATTAAAGAAATGCTTTCATTGACAGTTTTTTAATATCACTTTGATACTATTTTCAGAACCTTGATGTCATTTTTCAAAACTCTCAAAGCGGTTATCACTTGGCTGTCTAACGCTCAAAACATTGCATTGTGCATTTGCATCTTTAAAGAAATCTTGCACTTGCACAATAATTGGTTTAAAAAACAAATTTACTGTGAAATACCATTGAAACAACTATAGATCACACACACACACACACAACCGATAGTTTCACTATCATCATCATTAAATATTGTTGAACAAAATTTTCATAATGGCACTACATGTACAGTAAATACATCTCTGTAAAAGAACTGCAGAATACACACACAGTGGAATTATTGAACAAAGTGTGTGATATGTTGATGCAAAACACTACAGTACAATCACAACATTGGTTTATTGGAGTCAAAGCAAAAATATATAAAATATTACAGTAGGCTACTTCCATGGATGTTGTAGTCTAATTAGTTCATGCTCCACACTAATTGATAACAATGAATGTCGTTATCTTGAAACTTTCATGATTTATTTAAACATGGAAGATTGTGTGTCTGTTTCCATACATCTATTAAGAGTACTGCAACAGTTACTGATCATTTATATCAATTGATAGTATTTTAATGTTAAGTTGTGTCATATTGCACAGGTGATTTTTGTTGAATGAACAGATCATCTAAGTTTTATGTGTAGTGTATCCAAGCAATTGAGAAAAGGGTTAGAGTTTTTAAAAAAATGAGCATTTTGATCATTGGTTGTGAGTTGTGTGTCTAGAGTTTTGAAAAATGACATCAAGGTTCTGAAAATAGTAACAAAGTGAATGTAAAAAACTGTAATATCCTTACAAAGGTCTTCTTTGAGTATATATATCTGCACACCAGAATATAAGGTCGAACTTGAGTTTGTCACCACCTAGCAACCAACAACAACACCCTAGCGACCGCTTAGAAACACCCTGGCAACGACCCACAATGGCAAACACTGCTCAGATTTTCTTCAGAGGAATCTAGTTTTGTATATAGTGAAAGAGGATAAATGTATGGAAGCTTATTTCTGCCATGGAATAAAAAATAAATACATTCTGAGGGAAAAAGTCAGCCAATTACCTTTTTTTATTCCGTTGTGGAAACAAGTTTCCATAAAATCAAAACACTGCTTATTTTCTGCATGCCAGATTTATGCTGGTCTACTAGGTTATGTGTCGGAATTATTATATCGATTTAATTGGACACGACCCATGTCAATCAATCAGATTGCTCCAGTGGGCGGGGTATTCTCAGCGAGAGGCTCTGATTGGCTGAGCTGTCAGAGTTCAGCAGAAATTTTGATGTTTACTTTACGTATAATTCAGGAATATAAGGGTTATGACTGATGTAATTTTATTTGTGATTGATTCTGTGTTCATGAATGTGTACACATCATTATTACTGAGTGTGTGTGTGTGTGTGTGCGCGCTGAAGTCATAATGTGCATGTGGAAAACCAGATCAGTGTGAAGTGTCTTTAACATTTATTATTCCTCTTTTATTTAAAGTATTTTGATCATATAGATGATAATTTAAACACTACATATATATATACATACATTGTGTATAAGATTATGTCTCTGTTAAAGATCATGCTACAGTTTCTGTAAGACGTCATAAAGCTGAAGCGAATGCAGAGACACGGATTGTAACCTGAACAAAAACATCTTCAGTTTTGATATGAATCTTCATCCATTGCCATCAATGAAGCCTCAGTTTTATAATCATTATTTGTATGATGCATTTAATGTTGTTTTATTACAGAGCAGTTATATATTGGCCGAAGATGTTGGTTATTTAGTCTGACATGATCAGTCCATCAACCGGGACATGCAAATTTGTTTTTGCAAGACCAAGCGGATTAACAAACAAATTGATTGGCTGAGATGATTAACAGGAGACGTGATTGGCTGAGACAGTGGATACGTTCCAATCCCTGATCGTATTACTGAGGATCCATTTGCAAAACGCTGAGCGTCTAAAAAGTTGGACTCGTTTGTCAGTTTGATTAATCGTGTCTCGCTTATTTGTCTGTTTAACCCTGACAGAAATTTCTTTTTCATATATATGAACATAGAGAAGTGTAAAATCAACATATTTACCAAAGAACTTCCCTCGCAAAAGTCTGTCAACTGACGTCTGAAAGTCTGTGGGCCTCGTTTCTTTCCCGATGTAAGGTTCAAGTAAAATAAGTGGAATTAATTGAAACAATAAGCAAAAGCAAAACATTTCAAATATTGTCCGCTTCCATAGTACAAAAGTATTCTCATTCAAATTTAATTGTGATATTACTGTTATCATTTCAACAATATGTTTTGATATCACGGATTGTTTTCCTGATCCAGAATCTACTATTATTTACTGTACACTACTATTCAAAAATGTAAATAATATCAAGGATACATTAATTTGATCAGAAATGTTACAAAAAATTATTTCTATTCTTTCTATTCATCAAAGAATCCTGACAAATAAAACATATCAAGGTTCCCATAAAAATATGAAACATTGATAATAATCATAAATGTTTCTTGAGCATCAGTTTATCATATTAGAGTGATTTCTGAAGGATCATGTGACACCGGAGAAGCGAAGACTGGAGTAATGATGCTAAAAATTCAGGAATAATTTGCATTTTGAAAATATGTTCAAATATGAAAACCAGTTCTTTTTCGAAACATTGCTGTTTTCCTGACACTCGACTTCACCGGGAATCTTTCCTTCAGTTCTTGGACTGTAAACAGACATTTGGATCTGCGCTGTATATAACACTCTTTCCCGAAGGAACCCGAGATCATTCTGGACTCTTTTTGAATGTTGAATGCTGATTGTTAGTTTGATAATACCGACTTCTTTTGATTGTATCTGTCTTTATTTCCATGTTCTGAATGTGTTTTGATTGAAAAATGCACTACTGAGTTTTTGATGTGTTTCTGGCACCATCTTATCTTGAGATCACAACTATCATTTAAAGTGCTCCTATTATGCTATTTTAAAGTTCCTAATTTCCTACAGCAGCTTTACATGCATCAAAGATCCAAACACACTTGAATTTCCTCATAATATCCACTGCTCTTTTCTCACAGTGTCTGAAACGCTTCGTTTGAAGATTCAGTCTCTCTAAACCCCGCCTCTCTGAGAGCCGCTCTGCTCTGATTGGTCAGGTGGCCCAGTGTGCTGTGATTGGTCAGAAAGTAAACGCTCATTCTCATATCTGACTCTCAGCTCTTGATCACAGTCATACGAACAGTAACTTTGTCGTGCGTTTTACCGTATCAATCTCATCAAAGTGGATTTGCTTTGTTAGCAGAAAACAGCGTCTCTTCCAGTCTCAGATACACTAGTGTTTGAGGGCGGAGCTAAAAGGCGCTGTTCAGCCAATCAGCTGACATTATGCAAATGAGTTACACACCCACGCAGGTTCAGGAGGAAGAGCGACTGGAGTTACTGACGACACGTTTCAGGCTGTTCAGAATCGCTTCTTTTGTGAGACAAAAGCTTAATTTATCTGCACTTTGAGACTCTATTACATTCCACTGCACTACTTTTCAATTGTTTTCAAATACGCACTAGACGGACGTATTTGACCGTTGCTTTCGAATCCCATGTCTTTTGCAGCGTCTCGTTAAAAAATGTGACGCTCAAGTTATAGTCCAACTATTGAAAAACGTGTTTCTAGTACGGCTGTCAAACGATTAATCGTAATTAATCGCGTCCAAAATAAAAGTTTGTGTTTACATAATATATGTGGGTGCACTGTGTATGATTATGTGTAAATACCAACGCATTCTCATCCTTTAACGTCATATAGAACGCTATATGACAAAACGGCGCTATACTACGCACATGGCACCCGTTATCGTTAATATAACACGTGCTGTGAGGGCTAAGTTTAGGTGTGGGGTAGGGTGTGCGTGTCATATTCACGCTAAAGGATTTATAACGTCTTGGGTTCGCGTGTTATATTAACGATAAAGGGTGCCATGTGCGTAGTATAGCGCCGTTTTGTCATATAGCGTTCTATATGACGTTAAAGGATGAGAACGGGCTAGTAAATACACACACATGCATGTACATTTAAGAAAAAATATTATTTATATATAAAATATGTATATTTATATATAATATAAATTATATAGAAATCTATATACAGTATATACATGAAAATATTTCTTAAATATATACTAGCATGTGTGTGTATTTATACTAAATAATTATACACAATGCACCCAATTTTATTATGTAAACACAAACTTTTATTTTGGATGCGATTAATCGCGATTAATTGTTTGACAGCCCTAGTTTCTGGACCCTTTTTTCAGCAAAAAACGCATTTTGTGTGAATTGCTGGCGACTTATTTCTGGCAGTTCAGAATTGATTTGACTATATTTGTCTTTGATCTTTGAAACTTTGCAGACCTTTTACATCAACAAACACCATATGAAAGGTCATGTTTGAAAAACCATAATAGGGGCACCTTAAGCCAAACTAATTCATGTTATAGAAGCAAACTGTGTGTGCGTGTGTGTATGTGTGTGTGTGAATCTTGTTTTCTAATTCTTTAAATGTGGATCACTTCGATTGTAAACGCGGAATAAGCTCCTGTCGATGTTTGATTGTTTCAGAGAGAATAAACTTCAGTTTCACACATCACGTTGTGTCACATGCCAGTTAATGATAATAATCAATCACTATAACCAAACCTCATGTCATGTACACCATTTTGAATATTTGAATGATTATGACTATTTCATTTAACAATGCACAACCAATATTCTGCTCTACAGTGTCCAGCATGTAAAATAGATATACTGTATCTGTGGATGTTTCGACTGACGGTCTAATGGCCATCAGAAATATTCCTTAAGCAATCATTTTTGGCTGTTTTGTTTACAGTTATGAGTCATAAATCAGGGTTATATGGTGAGGACAGTTCAATACTTCACCATTAAAGAGGATGTTTAAGGCGAAATTTCCTTTAAAGGTCCTTGTGAACATGATTTAAAACACAAAACGTCAATCAAACATAACAACACAAGAGAAATGTTATTGATAATCCATGCGCAGAGGAAGAGAAAACATTGATCACCGATAGAGGATATTTTTATTTTATATTCTAATGTTCGTAATACACTTCATGCATGCATACATGAAATTGTTTGATCGTTAAAATACAGCAACATACAGCATATATATATATATATATATATATATATATATATTACAGAGAAAACTGGAATATATAAATTAATATATAAATATATAAATTACTGAAATACTGGAATAATATATAACATATATCTAAATATATCTAAATATATATATATACCAGTTTTCTCTGTGTAATATATATATATATATATATATATATATACACACAGGTGAAACTCAAAAAATTAGAATATTGTACAAAAGTTAATTTATTTCAGTAATTTAACTTAAAAGGTGAAAATAATATTATAGACTAATTACATGCAAAGTGAAATATTTCAAAATTAGAATATTGTGCAAAGGTTTTCACAAGCTGTAATCCATAATCATCACAATTATATTAAATAAAGGCTTGAAATATCTCACTTTGCATGTGAGTCAATATAATTAGTTTCACCTTTTAAAATAAATTACTGAAATAAATGAACTTTTGCACGATATTCTAATTTCTCGAGTTTCATTTAATAAATACATTATAGACATCTCACACATTGTGTTAAATTTAGTTTGTTTTATGTGAAATAAATAGACGTGGCGTGTGTCAGGCTGCGTTTGGCTCTCGTGTCTTCTTTGACCTCTGACCTTTGAGCCTAAAAAAAGAGGTCAAAGTTCAAACAGGATGATGTAACAGCCCCTCAGCTTTGTCTCTTTAGATCTTTCACTCACTGTTTCAGAAACGTAGAAATATCTTTTATTTCCATGCACAACTCATTGACTGTTTTAGCTGTTTTGATCAATATTTCTGATGTTGTTAAGGCTTAAAATGTACTATGTGGTCAATCATCAAAATTCCTTGTGTTCCAAGTTAATATTCGCTTCTCAAATAACAGGATCACATCAGGATATGCAGTCGGATGTAAAATATACAGAAAGTGTATTCGAGTTATTAATCTCTATACAGACAGATCGTACAGTTTGTGTGTGTTGAAGTGGAGGGTTTGTCTAGTATAATTGCATTTGTGCGCTGCACGTTTCTGCCGTTTTCTGCTTCTCCATTCATGGAAAATCAATTTGGGGAGGGAAAAGGAAAAGCAGCAAACCGAACCCTTTCCTTTCTCTGTTCACGAAGGTTTGTGCACATTCATGATTAATGATGATTTTGAGACTTAAAAAAACAGTCTACGTAAATGAATACTATATAATTGGTAACAATTTACAATATAGGGTTCATACAAGTGTTTGATTATTCATGTGTGTATATTTTTTATCATATACCATTCATACCATTTTTGATTATATTAATAATAATAATAATAATTTTAGTTTTAACTATACAGGCCTAGATGATTTTTCTGTAAGATACGAGCAATGAAAGAGTTTGCATTTTATATTATACATTTGTTATTCTTAAGTAATCTTAATAACAGAACAAATAATTTTGCTCATTAGAAACACTTTTATTTAAGCTCTGAGATCAATTAGTAAATATATTTAGGTGTGATGTTCATCAGCAGTGACATAAACATGAGCGTACAGAACAGTTCCTGTGGGCCTGAGCAAAAGATAGAGATGCAAACCAGCTTCAATCAATACAACTCTCTTACACACACTCTCACAAACACACACTCACCCTCAAACTCACATACTCACTCAATTGTATTGTATTGTATTGTATTTGCAACACAAATGCGTATAATGACACATTTATTATTTTAGATTTACTCATTTAAAATTATTACACATTTTATTTTACACTGAAGAAGGATAACCTGTTATTATTATGATTTAACCCATAACAAAGAGTTCATACACTGCATGCAAGTGCATTTTTAACCAGTTAATTCAGATGCTACCATTTTCGGTTACATAAATTTTTTTTAATATTTTAATGCAGAGTTGATTTTTTGTTGTTGTCAACTGTATATTTTTCTCTGTATAATAAGGTTAATTAACACTGGGGTTAATAACTAATATTATCAATGAGCAATACATTACTAGCCTATTTATTCATCTTTGTTAGCTATGATTGTATTAATGTTTTTAATTCATGTTTACAAATGAAACCATTGTAAAGTGTTATTTTTTATGTCATAGTTACAGCAAGGTAGTCTATAATAATTATAATAGTTATAATAGAAAAGTAATAGTAAAATGAATTTTCTTTTCTTCAGCGAATATTATGAAATCATAGAAAATATCAAAGGCTCAGATTATAACTTTTGCGTTCACTCGTTTATTAGTACACACATTTTTCTGTTATATATTCTCTTAATTTAGTCTGACACATATAAGAGGACTGAAGAATCTGCTGTTGTCCGCGTGTCTTTCATGGACACACTGAGGTGAAAGTGTCGAGGGTTAAAGGTCACGGGGCCTGAAACACAGCAAGCAAAGCACAGCCTTTCAGCAATACTGCATTTGACATGATGAAGATATCGCGTGGAAATATAATGAAATATAGACGTTATCATCACAATATGGAGGTTTTATAGAGGAAGAACAAGCACTTCCATGTTAAAGCGCTCACACATGCAAAAAAAGAGCAGTTATTAATTAACCCTGAACACTCCAAACAATCAATATGATCATCAGAGAAACACAAACCCTCTCCGCACCATCACACACACTTTCACACTGACTTCAACTCTAGATTACAGCCAATACATGCACATAGGCTTATTCATGCATATACAAATGTGTCAGCTAGCCTATGTATGAAGAGTTCAGATGCAAAAGCCTCTAAATGCCATTTGAAATTTTCTTCTTTAATGATGATTTTTGTCAAGCTTGTATATTTCAGTTCAGTGATTTCACTTAAATGGCAATGATAATTACCTATTAATTGTTATTTAAGTGAAATTACTGAAATTAAATATACAAGTTCGACAAAAATCATCATTAAAGAAGAAAATTTCAAATGGCATTTAGAGGCTTTTGCATCTGAACTCTTCATATATATATATATATATATATATATGACCTTTCCTTCGTGTATATTCTTAAAATCCGACAAACAAAACCACATGAGAATAACATAATATTAAACGTTATTTAATTACTTGAATTACGTGTGAACGTTCTGCTTTAAGGAAGCAATTAAAACACTAATGTAAAGTAATATTATGTTGGATATTAACCTCATGTAGCGTTTTCTATAAGCTCAGAATTAGGTTAAGTCTTTAAAATAATGCAATTTTTTAGTTCAGTATGTTCAAAAAACAATAATAACCTCCTATCCAGTACATGTACAAAATCATATGTTTATTTTAATGCATCACTAATTCAGGCTGATTTCTCCTGCTAAAAACAACGAGAAAATAAAGTTAATGCCGTTTTTTGAACAGCATCCATTGCACATTATAACTTCCTAACTTTAGGCGAATTTAATTAGATTTGTATTTTATTTTTATCTCTGCGCACGAGAAGTGTGTGTGTGTGTGTGTGTGTGTGTGTGTGTGTGTGTGTGTGTGTGTGTGTGTGTGTGTGTGTGTGTGTGTGTGTGTGTGTGTGTGTGTGTGTGTGTGTGTGTGTGTGTGTGTGTGTGTGTGTGTGTGTGTGTGTGTGTGTGTGTGTGTGTGTGTGTGTGTGTGTGTGTGTGTGTGTGTCTGTGTGTGAACATGTTTCATGTTTTCTGAAAGTCTCGTGACGTGTAAAACCACCAGGACTTTCTAATCGAGGCCTCTTAACTTAAGATGCTGGGAAAAAAAGGTAAATAATACAAAAACACAGGCTAGTATCATTTTCGCCGTACAAAACGGCACAGATATTATTAGTAATTAGTATAATTATTAAATTTATATTTTAGACTCACAAAATTCACAGAGCGATTGAGATAATGTTGGCATGATGACATGAATGACATGCCTTTCTAAACCCTCAAACAATCACAATTATCATTCAAGAAGTGCTGCACCTGTTCCTTTAACGGTGTCTATTCAAGCAAATGACATTTTAAATACACAGAAATCACCGAGAATATCCGCAAACTACATCAGCTTTCAACTAGCGTCACATAAACATATTTTCACCCAAAGAATCATCGAACAGCACTTATTAAAAATAGACAGCTATCGCGTTAAAAATATTAAACGGGTTTAATAGCAAAAACACTCATTCAGAAGGATCTATTTCTCATGCATGGATCAAGTGTGTGTTATAAACGCGGGTAATCGGGTTTGTGTCTCGCGCTCCTGTAAAGCGATGCGCGGGTTTGGAGAAAAGCGTCCTCGTGCGTGTTAACGCGCATAACCATAAACAGCGTTTCATCTTATGACTGAAAGCAAGAGCGTGTTTAAAGCGCCAGAGGAAAGTCCGAGACTTACCGAGAGCTGGGAACAGATGCAGAAACTGGCGGCCAGTAACGGCACGGTCATCATGGGGTCCGAGGCGCACTGATTCTGATCGATATAGTGCTCGCACGCAGCAGATGGTCGGAGTGAGGCAACACGGGGAGAAAAAAGCCCAATCCAACAGTTACTCGGCCTCTTTAGCTTTTGCATGATGGGAATGATTACAAACTCAAGTGTATTTCATTTACACACCTAATCCATTCAGATGAGTTAATCTCATCACATCTGAACATCTGTCTAACTAAGCCGCACTGCTAAATCAAGTAGTTTCGGTGTATTGTGAAGCGCAAACTTTGATCAGAGTATGATATTGCAATCAGATGCATAGGCCTATCAGATCTTAGAGAAAACAAGAATAGTTTAAATAGAACAAGATTATATCAAATTTTAAAATATGTTATGCATCCAGTAAATACCTTTAAACTCCGTCATCTGTATAACCTGTAAACATATTTTTAAATTTCCATTTATTTATTTTATTTTATTTTTACTGTAATAAAATCAACTTGGAAGTCATTTCAAATTAAATTACATTAAAGACTTTTAAAAATTAGTTGAATCTTAAAAAAGTAAAAAAGGAGCTAGAGAAGTGCTTAACCTTTTTTTTATGAGTTACAGTAAAGCAATGTAAAAATACCCGATGTTGTCAACATATTGATCATATCATTTTGTTACAGTGTATTTATTTTATTTAGAAGGTATTGTAACAGATAGCCATATACCAATATTTTTGGTATCATGTTTAAAGTTAAATTTTGTGTAAAATTAGTGGGGGGGGAGAAATTAAAACGCATAGTTTTTAAACATTTAAAAATAAAAAGACGTTCTAAATGGAACTTGAACTTCCGAAAAATATCATTATTTTATTTTATTTTTTTATGTAAGTGGACGTTTGATCATTTGTCCTCCTGTTACAGTAAAGCTGGTATAAAATGAGTTGAGATTTTAAGGTTTAGAGTTTTACATGCATTTAGAAGAGAAACAACGTGCACGTTGGATCTCTCTCTCTCTCTCTCTCTCTCTCTCTCTCTCTCTCTCTCTCTCTCGCGCTCTCGCTCTCGCTCTCTCTCAAATATCGATTTTCTTTGACATGAATAAGGGCCTTTTTCAGTCAGTAATTCTTTGCATTGTGTTGAAGTGTGCCAAAGCAAAGCAGCACAAAAACACCCGAGCAGAATCAAACTCTTCTGTGTCCGTCGCTGGATTCGCTACAGTCGCGCGCGCGGCAGGTACGTGCACTTTTCCTCCAATTTGTGGCAGCTGAAAATCCGGGAAGAGTCTTGTGGAGACCCCGGGCCCCCGCTCCTCCTGCTCCTCCTCTGACAGCTGATCAAAAGAAAAATAGGTCACGCTTTTCAGACTTCTGTCGCTCATCCTTAATTACAGTCGCTTTAAACAAAAGCAACATCTGCGCATCCTCCAAAGAAAACAGCAACCGGCATTCGAGAAATCTGTTACTTCTGAATCACTTCAAGCCGGATCAGACCATAATGCGCGTGAAGAAGTTACTCTGCGAGCGCATTGATCGATTTAGACTAACTCTAACGTGAAAAGGATCAGTGCTACTAAGAAACTTACTTTAAACAAAGTCTTGCACTGCATATTTTTAACAGTGTTTCGAAGGAAAATAAAGCCTTAAATCAACCCGCGCAAATTTATTAGAAATACAAAAGAGAAAATTCGGCTTGTATAGGCTACAATGTGTGTGCTAACCTTATATTTACAGGACAGGCCCGTTGTGGACTATACAGCACTCACTGTGAAATTAATACATAAATCATATTTTAAGTAATAATGTAAAGTAGGTCTTTATGTAATGAGCCAGTGTTAAATTATCAGAAAACACGAACAACAAAAAAAGACTTGATTGAAATCTGATTGATGTTTTGACAGATAGATAGATAGATAGATAGATAGATAGATAGATAGATAGATAGATAGATAGATAGATAGATAGATAGATAGATAGATAGATAGATAGATTTAGTCTATCTATATTTAGTCATATAAGTTAAATTAGCCTACTAACGTAAAAACGAGAAAAAAGTTTTTAAATTGCTTAACTTATTTTGATGAGTTAAAACAATGTAAAACAAGTTTGCATTAACTCATTGTTCATATTTTTTTTTTGCAGTAATAAATTCTATTAATCCATCGAAGGCAAATACAAATATGCACTAATTTGCCCAATATAGCTACAAACTACAAAAAAATATAGAATACTACTAAATAGTAGAATTTTGTTCTGCATTTGTTATTTTAGAGTTAAATTGCACATGATATTGTGCGATTGTGTTTATGTGAATTTTATGTTTGTGTAGAGGATGAACTGGGTAAATGATCCGTTCGGAATGACAGTAAAGGGACCGTCTGACGCCAGATTCCAGATGCAAAGACAGCCGCTCCGAACGGGCTCAGCGATTGGCCAGAGCGCTAACGAGCTGCACTCAGGAGCAAAGCGATTGGACGGGTGACGCGTCAGTCAAGGCAAAGTCTCCTCCCCTTTCAGCAGGGTCGGATGCGCGCGGAGCAAAGCCCACCCCGAACACCTCCAGCTGCCCAAACAGAAGACGCAGGAGGAGTAGAGGGCTCGGACATGGGGAGAAATCAGCACTGGCCCGTCTGATAGAGATCGGTGTTTTTTTTATTTATTAGGGGGAAAAAAACCGAGAGGCCTTAGCACAACCAAAAAAAAAAGAAAAAAAGAAAAAGAAGAAGAATTGGAAAAAAAGGAGAGAAAACCCATCCCTAGCACAAAGCTGGACATAAATCAATGGACTGAATGAAGACTGCCTATACCGCCTATCGATGCCTGGCCAAGGATTTGGATGCGTACGCCATGAACCCAGAGATGACAATGGACATTGGCAACCTACATGCCGGAATAAGCCATGAGCAGGACTTGATGAGCCACAGCCCTCATCACAACCGCAATTCGCTACGGATACACCAGGATCTGAGCGTTGCGCCGTCGCGCTCCGCGATGGTGTCCAGTATGGCATCGATACTGGACGGGGGTGGTGGTGGTGGAGGTTGCGCGGGAGGAGAGTATCGTCCGGAGCTTTCTTTACCGCTTCATCACGCCATGAGCATGCCGTGCGACACCTCCCCACCCGGGATGAGCGGCACATACACCACCCTGACCCCGCTTCAGCCCCTGCCTCCCATTTCCACAGTATCCGACAAATTCCACCATCCGCATCACCACCACCACCACCACCACCAGCGTCTCTCTGGGAATGTGAGCGGCAGCTTCACTCTCATGCGGGACGAGAGGACTCTACCAGCCATGAACAACATCTACAGCCCCTACCACAAAGACATGAGCGGGATGGGTCAAAGCTTGTCCCCTCTGGGCAACATCCACAACGCGCAACCAACGCTCCACAACTACGGCGCGCACGGGCACGACAAGATGCTAAGCTCCAACTTTGACGCACACACTGCCATGCTGGCCAGAGGGGACCAGCATCTCTCCAGAGGCCTCGGTGGCCCCACCGCGGGCATGATGCCGCATCTCAACGGGATGCACGGGTGCCACCCTCAATCCCACGGGCCCGTGTTGGCTTCCAACCGGGACAGACCGCCCTCCTCCTCCGGAGCGCCGGGTTCCGGCGGCTCGGGTCAGCTGGAAGAGATCAACACGAAAGAAGTGGCGCAGCGCATCACGGCCGAGCTGAAGCGCTATAGCATCCCGCAAGCCATCTTCGCTCAGCGGGTGTTGTGCCGCTCGCAGGGAACCCTGTCCGACCTCCTGCGGAACCCCAAACCCTGGAGTAAACTCAAGTCCGGCCGAGAGACGTTTCGCCGCATGTGGAAGTGGTTACAGGAGCCCGAGTTTCAGAGGATGTCGGCCCTTCGGCTTGCAGGTAAGACAAGGTATCTGCTTCTTTAAACAATCTTTCGTGTAAATGGAGATTTTGATTGGAGGATCAACCCGCATCATCATGTTCAGTTGATTTTTATTAATGCACATTAATTGACTTGTGTGTGCATCATGTATTGATTTCTAAACATTTCATGTGCATTGTTTTTTTTTTTTATTGGGTTTTTATAAGCGTCTCTAGAGTTGCACCACCACTTATAAACAGGTATTGTTTATATGTACACTGTTAAAAAGTGAGATCCATTTTTGGTTCCCCATAGAATAATGATCAGTTCTTAAAAAAAAAAAAAATATATATATATATATATTGCTTAGTATAAAGAACTTTTTTTTTTTTTAAATGGAAAGATTCCAAGGTTCTTCATGCAACCAGAATCCAATAAAGACCCTTTATTCTAAGAGTGAATAGCTGATGTTTTAGTTTGACCCGCAGCGTGTCTATTGTTTACCTGCACATTCGCATTTACAATCCTCAAGATGTTCAGTAAACACAAGTTAGGCTGGTGGATGTGGTGTGTTGTGGTGGAAGAGGCGCTTTAGTCTCTCTCTCTGTGTGTGTGTGTGTGTTAAAGAAAAGCCTTTCAGAGAGGTGCTGAATAGGGATGTGTTGGTAATTACTGGACTGTTATTCCCTCTCCTGCCCCGCTCCATCAGGCTTGTTGCCCCCTCTAGCGATGGGCGGTGCAGACCCCCTTTTCCTTTGTTTGGCTGAAGAAGAAAAAGAAGCAAGAGCTGGATTTCCAGCCTCAGTGTAGTTTGGATGTGTTATAGGTGTCGTGCTGTTGAATAGCATCCTATCAGTGCATTAAAATAAAAGCTTGGTGTGTATTGATTTTTAATTTGTAGGGTGATGCACAATTATTCACTGAAATAATGGACAGCTCTGATGCCTCATGCATTGTGCAACTCAGACGCATATAGCCTGAGCATTACGGCTTCAGCTGTTTCTACAACAAACTCTTTCTTTCTTAAATAGCTATATTTCAGGCTTTGGAGGAAGAGCGCGAGGATAATTGCACATACCGAAACACAGGCATCTTTATCAAAACATTCCACTGTGAGTGTCATTTATTCGTTGGAAATGCATTGATGAAACGCACCGCCAGAGGAAGGTGATTGCTTTGTAAACAAACAAATGCATCCATCTTTCAGCGAGAATATATGATTTGAAACAGAAGGGCTGTAAAGCTTCATTGGAGATGTTAGGTGCTTTAATGCTGTTTCCCTGCAGGGCTCTGGTCTCACAGATGGCTTTGGGTTGGGGGGAAGGTATTATGTGATCTGCAGGGGAATTGAAAAGAAGAACAGAGGCTGCAGCGGCTCGATGAATTATTGATAGAAATCTCTGCGTGACCCTCAGCTCAACGCACAAAACGTCACCTTGTCTCGGGTTAAACAGGCAGAGATGTGCAGCCCGGCACCTGCCTTTTGTTCGGCGTTTCGGGAAAAGAATGTGAAACAAACAAT